TACTGTATTGGATAACCACTCGGGGAACTGATTTTTTTTAATGTGTCCAGCGTTCATCAGCTTGTCGACCTCCTGCTCGATGATTTTGTCCATCTCCGCACCATGATGCCTTCTTTTTTGCTTCACCGGTCTGACACTGAGATCAATATTAAGTCTGTGCTCAATCACCCCGGCCTCGATCCCTGTCAGCTCGTCCGTTGTATACGCGAAGATGTCCGTAAATTTCTTTATTAAATTGATCAACTTTGACCTGACCGGCTCCCCCAAATCTTTTCCGATCCTGAATTTTCGGTCATCGCATCCCTGCACCATTTGAATTTCCTCGATCTCCTCTCCGGGTTGTATATCTATCTTCTCCTTCCCATTATCTTGTCCTCCTCTCTCCTCTTTCGATCGTGATCCTCCTGGTCGATCAGGCCTCACCTCTTTACCTTTCAACTGCCTCTCTGCCATCTGCTTGTTGTTACTGACTGTGAGCAACTCCTCGACGTGAGTTGGTCCCCTGCAACCTCGCCTACATTTTCCCCCACAGGATACTTGATCGTCATGTGGTAGGTAGACACGACTGCTTGGAACGCATTTAAACTTGTCCGTCCTAGAATGATATTGTAAGACGATTCCGCTCCGACCACCACAAACCGGATCATTCTCACTTTCCTCGAGTCACCCGACCCCAATGCTACGGTCAGGCTCACTTCTTCCATTGGCATTACCTCCCCACCATTAAACCCGTATAAAGCTGTCGCCACCGGTTTTAATTCTAGATTCAGGTGCTTGTTGATCTGCGCGAAACAATCGTAGAACATCACGTCGACCGAACTCCCCGTGTCGATGAACACTCTTTTTACATCGAATCCTGCCACTTCGGCCGTGATGACCAGTGCGTCATTGTGCGGTAACAAGATTCCTTCTGCATCTTCTGCTCGAAAACTTATCACAGGCATCCGACCAGTTATCCCGACTTCCTCTCTTTTACGCTTCACCGCCCGCACATGCCCCTTTCGTGCATTATTTGAATCCCCATCCGTTGGTCCTCCTGAGATCATGTAGATCGTGCCTCTTTTCACATGCACCTCCTCCCTCAACTCCTCTCGATCATCGTTCTGTCGCCTCTTTCTCTCTCTCCTGGCATCGTCCTCTCCATCATCGTCCCTATCACTCCTTGCCGCAGAATTTTCCCTGCATCTCCTCCTTTCTTTACCTCGTGGTCGATCGTGAATGACAAATTCTTTCAAGTGCCCAGCCCGTATAAGACGCTCGACCTCGTCTTTCAAGTGCCTACAATCGTCTGTATTATGTCCGTAGTCCCTATGAAATCTGCAGTATTTATTCGACCTAGGTTTGGTCGGTCCCTCGAACCTGGTCGATGGCCAGGTGACTTTCTTGCTTTCCAACTTCTCCTCTATGGCCGCCAAGACTTCGCCCATCTGGGCGTTGATAGGGGTAAAATGATTATATCTCTGACCGCTTGGTAGCCGAGGTCGCCCCTGCCAGCGATCTTCTCGCCTTTCTCGGAACGAATTTTGCCCACCCCTCCTGGGCGACGACCTCTTAAAAGATCCTCCTTTTGGAGAATTTTTCCTAGGCGATCCCCTTCTGGGCGAGCTTGTTTTTCCTTTCTTCTGCTCGGGCTGCACAACGTCCTCGAGCTTGGCGAATTCTGCTTCCGTTTCTTCCAAGTTAATGTATTTCTTGCATCTCTTGAGCACCTCATCGTAAGTTCGAGCAGGCGTCTTTGCCAGCGACGTTCGACATGGTCCTGGCCTTAGCCTTCTAATCAATCCTCCTGCTTTCACTTCATCACCCGCCGTGGGCACCTCCAGACACACCTGATTATATCGAGCAACATATTTCCGTAATGATTCTTTCTCGCCTTGCCTCATTGCCATCAGGGTGAGGTATGTTTTCTCCTGGGCGACCGCGCTTGAGTATTGATTAGTGAGTTGTCCTGCGAAGTCCTCAAAGTCTCTGATCGAACCTGGAGTCAGTTGGTGGAACCAGTCAAGCGCACCTCCTCGTAAGGTCGACAAGAAGGCCCTGCAGCTGACCGAATCTGAGTATCCATGTAAGACGGACATGTTTTCGAATGCTCTCACGTGCCTCGACGGGTCACTCGATCCATCTAAAATCAGGTTTATTTCCCGAAAACTTGCAGGTAACGGCGCAGCTAGAATTTCCCTCGAGAATGGGTGTCCTCGAGCACGTCTTTCTGGCCTCCCTTCCACCTTCTCCTGCAATTGCCTCAGCTATTCGGCCATCCTCTCCATAGCTCTATCCCTGTACTCCCCTCCTCCGCCATAACTCGACACATCCTCCTCTTGTGTTCCTTGCACCGTTGTCGGTGCAGTGGCAGCCTGGGATGTCTGGTGAGTAGCTTGTTGCACAGCCTGCGCCGCCGCGTCGGCCACCATCCTCTGCACTTCTTCTCTTGTCATGGCCACCACTTGTTGAGCAGGGGGTTGTGGTGCTCCTCCTGTTGGCGGCACCATGGTTTGCGTTATCAGCCCTGCTTGTTGCGTCGCGACCGGGCCCGTTTGTAACGGGGCGGGGACTGCCGTGGGTACTGCTTCACGAGCCTCGTGTTCTCTGCTCGTACCTGCTCCTCCTCCCAAGATCGTTGTACCCTGGGGCATCGGCGTCGGGGTCACCGGTGTTTGCGAGGGTCCAGAGAATCCAGGTGGAGGTCCTGCTCCCATCGGTCTTATGGTCATCCACGCCTCGTCAAATGAAGACTGCAAATTCACTCGAGGAACTCCGTCCGCCATAGCTAAGCTCAGAACACAACTTTTCGAACAAAGTCCCACAGACGGCGCCAATAATACAAGTCTCGCACCCTGCCCGGCTGGAATTCGCCTTAAGCTTGCTTTCCTCGCCGGTTGAACGCGGAACCTGCACGAAACTCCCACACCGGAGGTGTTTTCCGGTGAAGAGCCTCCAACGCTCAAGTCAGATCTTGAGAGATAATATCAGTGTATAGAAAGATGTAAAGTATATCTGATTGTGTTGAAGGTGAGGATTCTCGCCCCTATTTATAGGGACGAGTTACCTGAGTTGCACGCGCGAGCCAGGTGCGTTCGGCCAATTGTCCTCTGCTCGTCCGTACGATCGCGCGCCTCCACTATCATCAGTGTCAGAAAACGCGTCGCCTTTGTCAGAGAATGTCAGAGTCGGTTACGGTTGTTGACCACTCACAATGCGCCGCGTGTCCTCCTCCTTATGTGCTGGAGATTCCTCTATGTGCTCCGATGCTCGACCAGTTATGTGCGTCTATGTCTCCTCGATTGTCCTCTCTCTACCATATCCTCAGATGACTTGTATCTGTCGACCACCTCTGCTCTCTTCTACTGTCATTATCTGCTCGATGCTCTAACGGCCGGTGTCTGGTCATGCTCAACCATGCCATTCGACCCTATCCCTGCTAGACCGTCCAACAAACCGGTCGGTCTCCTTTGATTAGCCCTATAAATGGTCCAGTATATAATATCCCATATCAAAGTCCTTATTAAATCAGTGATTAATGCACTTCCAGTCTTTACTATGTCTTGCTTCATCCTTCCTACTGGTTTGTGTAAAGAAATAGCAAGTGTTTGTGCTATTTTTTGGTGGAATAAAGGAGATAATTTAAACAAAGGCATTCATTGGAAAGCATGGCACTATTTAACCCTACCAAAATCTCATGGTGGCCTTGGTTTCCATGACATCAAAACTTTTAATGAAGCTCTCATTGCAAAACAAATCTGGAGGATACTCACACAGCCCCATCTGCTGGTAAGCAAGATCCTTAAATCAAGATATTTCCCTGATTCCTCCCTTTTTTGCTGCACACAGAAATGCAAATGCTTCATGGTTATGGAACTCATGGCTAAAAGTCAGAGATAAATGTGGGGGATGGATGCAGTCAGTGATTCACAATGGGAGAAGTACCAGTATTATTGGAGATCATTGGATCCCAGATCTCAAAGGGCAAAAGCTAACTTTCAAAACAGGAGCTGATCAGAACCTGAAATGGGTGCATCAATTAATTTCACAAGAAGGTAATAGCTGGGATGTTGATATTCTAACCCAGAATTTTTCAGATGAGGATTGTAGGGCAATTCAAAAAATCAGCACTCTGAACCCAGCAGAAGATGATAAATGGATATGGACCCAAGACAAAAAGGGTCAATTTTCAGTATCAAATGCATATGCCACACTCATCCAACAGAAGATCCTTAGCATGGACTCAGCACAAAGTAGCACATCACTTATGAAAGACAAGAAGGCCAGAAACAGATTGTGGAAGCTAAATATTAAAGGCAGAATAAAACACTTCTTGTGGAAGTGTATATCAGGTATTCTCCCTGTAGCAATGAACTTGAAAAAGAAAGGCATGGATATTGATACAACTTGTCGAGTTTGTGGGTTAGCTGAGGAGTCTGTGGAACATATTTTATTCTCTTGCTCAAAAGCTGATTTAGTGTGGAAGCTTTCCCCTGTTAGCTGGGATGCCTTTCATCAGATAGATAAGTTCAAAGATTGGTGGTGGGATATATCAAATTTAAAGCAAGATGACATTTCCGAAGCCCGTATTCAATTATCTACGTATATCTTATGGTGGCTTTGGAAATCAAGAAACCTTTGGGTCTTTGAAGGAGCAGATAGACCGGCTCACCTAATTGTTGAAGCAGCTGTTAGTGAATGGAAGGAATTCTCAGAGGTCAGCCGGTCATCTTCAAAGAGGACAATATGAAGGATGGTCTAGGATTCTGTGAATCAGTGGAAATCCGAATACTGCTCTCTGTAATTTCTCTTATTTTTTTAACCATTTATATTTTATAGGGAGTCAAGTTCAGTAGGTATATATATCAGCTGTTTGAGTCCCATATTGTAAGTTTGTAGTATCTGTCTAGACCACCGAAGAGTGGTTCTCCCTTCAGTCGGCTTTTTGTATTCAAACATTGTTGTTCTATTATTTATCTAATGAGAATATCTGTCGTTTTGAAAAAAAAAAAAAAAGAATTGTTAATAATAGTTGGCCGATTGGGTTTTTATTATGGGGACATAATACTGTTAACAGTAGTTGGCCGATTGGGTTTTCTTCTGAAGAGAATTAATCATTAAAGTTGAGATTCTTTTGAATTCATACGGAACTCAAACGTTTGAATATTAATGGTTTGTTTGAAACTATATTTGTTTTGTCCAAACAATAATAAAGCAGCACTCAACTTTTTTGATTTGGACTCTTGCCTTTTAAATTGATAAATATGCATAATGATTATCCAGTAATTAGTAGATATCCTGTGCACATGCACAAATGTACATAAAATATTAGTAAGTAATATTTGAGAATTTAATATTAAAATTCTAGATAATGAACATATTACATTTTCAAAATTTTGATCATTAGGAAAAATAAATTAACGGTTTTATTTATTATGAACAATTGTTTATTATCATTAGATAATAACAGTTTGATTATTATTATTATTAAAATAATTGTTTATAAACTTCTAAAGTTGTTTGGGTGCTATTAAAACAATTTACTAATTGTTTTTAAAGAAATTTTTTATGAGATACAAAAGAAAAAGATAATATTGATGTTAAAATACATAACTTGAAACAATTGTTTATAATTATGTAATTTATATTTATTATAAATTATTATTAGTTGGTATTAGCAATAACTATTATATAATATAATAGAAAAATACATAAGTACACTTAATAGGATGTGTTAATGTGATAAGTAAAAAATATTAATGATAAATTTTGTAACTGAAAATAGAGGGAAAATTTTAGAGGTTTTATTAAGTAGGTAAAAAAATACATAAGTACACTTAATAGGATGTGCTAATGTGATAAGTAAAAAATATTAATGATAAATTTTGTAACTGAAAATAGAGGAAAATTTTAGAGGTTTTATTAAGTAGGTAAAATTAAATGCTAAGCTAGCAATTATATATATATATATATTATTAAAAAACAATTGTTTATAAGATTCTAAAGTTGTTTAACTATGCTATTAAAATAATTTGCTAATTGTTTTTAAAGAATTTTTTTTAGATACAAAAGAAAAAGATAATATTGATGTTAAAATACATAACTTGAAACAATTGTTTGTAATTATGTAATTTATATTTATTGTAAATTATTATTAGTTGGTATTAGCAATAACTATTATATAATATAATAGAAACATACATGATTACACTCATTAAGATGTATTAATGTCAGAAGTAAAAAAATTAATGACAAATTTTGTAACCGAAAATGGAGGGAAAATTTTAGAGGTTTTATTAAATAGGTTTTATTAAATGCTACATGCCAGCAATTATATATATATAGATGTATTTGGATTTCTGAAATGTTTTGTATCAATTTTCAATTGGTCATAATAGAAGTACAATATATTATAGCAATTAAGGTTGATGAAGGCGATTAGTTCTTAAAGTCTTTATTAGTTCTGTCTCAAATTTCTATATGAACTATATTAGAGTTGGTAGTCAACTTCATCGAGAGTCATAGTTTTTATAATCTCAGAATAAAGAATCAATCAAATATTTGCTAATTATATTATCTATGTAAGAAAACTAGTTAGTTACTAAAGTGACCTAGTTTAATTTATGGTATAGATAATTAAAATTAGATGAAACTATCAATTATTCAAATATAAAATGATGCCTTATTAATGTCTTTCAAATTATATATTTGAATAATTGATGTCATGGATTATAAATTAGGAGGACACCCAAAGGTGGGTCATGGATTTATAGTTTATGACAACTAAAAGAGAAATTATAATTAGAGTTAGGTCAATTAGTGCGTTTGTCTAAAGATAACTACTAATTTATCAGAATTATATAATTTCTATTAAGGATTAATATTTAAAAGATAAGTTATACTTAAAGTGATGTTAATTAGCGTGTTTGTCCAAAGATAGCCGCTATTTGACTCAAGTATATATAATCTCTATCAAGAATTAATATATGAAAGAGAAATTATAATTAAAGTTAGGTTAATTAGTGTATTTGTCTAAAGATAACCACTATTTAATCACAAGACCCAATAATTTCAGTTAAAGATCTTTCCTCTTAGGCATCAATCAAGTATATTATATAGATAAGTATTTGCCCAAAGATATATTTAAATATATAATTTAAAAGATTTCTGAATCCATTAATTTGCTCTCAAAGCTTAATTAAATAACATGTATTAAAGTTTGCAGTGTTTAAATTTAGTTTTTCCGTCAAGTATTATTATTG